ATGTGCTTGACCAAACGGGCCCCCCAGGCTTTTGCTTCCAGTTGTTGTCCCCTTAACCGCCCCCCAGGTTTTTGCTCCCGGTTGTTGTCCCCCTGAAACCTCTTTGTTCTCCCCAAGCGGCTGCATGAGGTCCAGGAGGCCCACTGGGAGATCTCACAGTCGATGTCCGTGGTGCAGGGCGGCAACTCCTCGCACTTCTCAAACTCCTCGCGGACGCCCACCTCAGGCGCATGCACGGCGTCACTTGTTGACTGCGTTGTCGGGGGATTTGGGCAAGTCCCTCAAGATCTGTTCTTGTCTTCTCCATACTTGTGTTTGGGCTGGCTGGTTTATGTGTCCGCCCTGTCTATCTGTATGTCAGGTTTTCTCGGCAAGTCGTGTTTGGGCTGGTTTGCCAAGAATCCAGCATGATACCGACGTTGGGCGTCCCAGCTTGACACATGCGCACGTCAGTCACCACCATCTTCCCCAAATGGGAGAGTCCCCACCAGGACTCAACCAATGGCCCATGAGAACTGTGGTGGGCCTGATTCCTGTGGGTGTGCTTGTACTTATACTTCAGTCCTTGCAATGATGGCTCTTGCAATGATGGCTCTTGCAATGATGGCTATGGCTGCAATCCATTGCCAGCGGGCCTCTCGCGGCCAAGGGTTGGGCCAAGCACCTGTTTCAACATGAACGGAAACTTATGTTCAAACAACCAGTCGGCTTCACTTCAACCGGGATGGCTCAACTGCTTTCTGTCAACCTGCTGCTTTTCATCAAACTACATGATCAATTTGATCAATAGTCACTCAACCTGGCTGCGTCAACAAAAACAACCAAGTCCTCTTCCTTCCTTGCAGCCTCCCCTCGCTTCCCGCGTTACGCGGCACCTCTTTGCACAGCTACCTGGGCCCCCCGCGGTGGCGTTGCCGCAGTAGTTCGCGTGCACCGCGATGTTCCTCACCGGGTTTGAGGAAAATTCTGTGGGTTGGCTTGCTTTTTGCCCTGAATTGGCCCAGGCTCCCCCAACCCCCCACCCCCCCACCCCCTCCCCAGCCCCTAGAAAGGTTCGAAGAACCATAAGCACCCCGAAGAAGCGTATAAGAACCTTCCTTGGGAGCTGTGGGTACCTTTGCTTTTGTCATTTGCTTTTTGCCCGAAAGGACACTCCTCATCCCGAAGAGAACCTTGGTCCTGTCCCCAGTTGCTTTCCTGAAAAGACATGCCGCATCATCCCTGAAGAAGCGGTGTTGTCAAAAACACGCCGTGTCGTCCCATTTTTGACATGCACAAATTGAAACGCATGGGAATGGCAACACAAGTCTGGGGGGTGGCCTTCTGAAGCGTTTCATCTGAGAATGAAGGTTCAAAATCGGATTTCCCCACAAATTGGGTGGTTTTACTTTGGCCTCACCTTTCATCCAAGGGAAAAATCAGCTTCCCTCTCATTCGGATTGGTGGTTTGGAGGCTGGGGGCAGTGTCCCATCTCCCTATGGAAGAAGCATCAAATCCCAAGCCACCAATCCAACCACCAACAACTAAGGCTTACCCTCCCACCAGCTAACATGGAAGTGCACCGCCCCTGTAGAAAGACTACTTTCCTCTTGGAAAGTGCCTTTTTGCACTTCCATGTTAGTTGGCGAGGGTACCTGAGACAAGCGGACCCTCCAAAAAGCGCTCCAACCCCTCCGGCCGATTTTTTTGGTCTTGGAACTCCTCGCCTCCTGCGGAAGCGATAGGCCGAATTGCAGGTGCCGCTGCAGGGCGTCCACTCGCGCCACATGCCCCACTCCCCGTTCTTGCAGCCCTCCCCACAGGTCTGGGTGCCTCGGACGCCAAAGGTCTCCCAAGGAGGGAATGAGTTGGAATGACCCCGAGAAAAACCATCCTGTTTTTTCAGTCAAAAGAAATTGAAACCATCAATTTGTTTTCAAAAACCGGAGTTGGTCAACTAGTGGTTTGCTTGAAGGGGACCCCTGGGTTCATTCCCAACACTTTCTGGCTGGTTCCCTACTGAGCGCCAGCAAAGACCTGCCGAAGGGTGAGTTAGTAGATGGCACAAGTCCTGGTGTGGCCAAGGATCAGTGACCAAAATTTGGGAAGGCATGCCATCTTTGACTGGAAGTTGAATGGCCACTCCTTTCTCGGGCCGAGAGCCATGACCAGACTGAAGAAACCCTATTAATAGCAAGCTGAAATTTGCCGGAGCGGGCAAGGTTGTCCACGGACCCCGCCAAAAACAAACGGCCCATAGACCCTCTCAGGTGTTTTGAAGCCTTGGAAAAGGTGCTCAAGGAAGGCACAAGGACTTGTATTCTTCACTTGTTTTGAAGGCGCGACCAGATGTTTCCCCGGGGAAAGCTCCCAACTGACGAACAGCCCCGGCGCAGAGGCCAAGCGGGAGAAGAGTGCTTGCCACCGTCGGTCGTCTTGAGTTGGTTCCAAAGGAGGTGAAGTTCACTTAGGAGCGCATGCTTCCTCAAATTGTGAAGCCTCTGTCCATTCGACAATCCAAAGCAACGTACGGACATGTATCTATATTGAAGGACCTGGACAGTATGTGCGCAGGGAGCCCTCCGAGTTCGTTTGGGTGTGGCCTGCATGTCTTGCAAAAGGCAACCCCCCGCTCTGGCCAGCTTTGCGGAGAAACAAAGGCGAACCCAGCGTGCTAAGGTGGTCCCTATGTTCAAAGGCCTCATTTCCTGATCGCATTGCTCCCATCAATCCAGAAGAAGAGCACACATTCGGGCACGGGTCAAAATTAGTCACCATGGGGACTGCGGGTTCTAGTCTACGTTTCCACTTGCCAGGGTTCCATTTTGGGTACCTATTTCTGACCCACAGCCATTTCCAAAAGTAAGTCTAGAGGCCACCATGGCACAAACTCAATCAGAATTCACCCGCTTAGTAGGGTGACAAAGAGGGTCTGAAAAAAAAGGCATGAGCGCTGTTCAAACCAGGCTGAAACAAGCCGGCAGCGAGAAAAGCCAACATATGGGGTGGCAAAATAGGTGACCCCCAAATGCTTGTTTACTAGGTTCTCCAGTAGCGAGGATAGAATAAGGGTGCCGCCTTTTCTGTAGTCTATTTTAGTAGGGAAACCCCCCCAAAGAAAAAAGGGTAAAAGGGTAAAAGGGCACTACTGGGGGACCTAGTTTAACTTTCACTCCTCATGAAACCAACCTGCACCGTCAAAACACCACGCCCATACCTCTGCTTTCACCCGAGAATCCGCATGGCGCCACCTCCACCTTGTCGTGGGGATCACAGGCGGCGCCGCCCATTGGCGACACCGCGATGTTCCGGCTCCTCGCTCGAGCGCGGAGTTGTGGGTTGTTGGCTCCCCTTTGCAGGGTGCGGATTTGCAGCTGGATTTGCCACATATGCCCAGAAAGTCCAACTGATGGGGGAGGGCGCTGGCAGCAGCAAACCCCGTCAGTCAGAACAGTCAGCGCCATCCGACGCCTTTGAAGTTCAAAGGGGACACCCTCCCATCCATGAACATGGAATGATCTTCCATGTGATTTTTCCTACAGGTGGTGGGAGGGCGGGTACCTTTGAAGATGCGCCCAGAAGTTTCTGCCCCAAAACCCAAGTCTTCTGTGTCCAACAACTGGGATGCTCGCACGCCTTTCCCAAGTCTTTGTCTTTCGACGTGCGTTGCATGCGGAAGAGGCGGGGGTTGCACTACCCAGGGTCGCAGACCCAGTACTTGCCTCACGCGCGCGACTCTCCCCACTGCCACAAGCACAAAAACATAGAGGACGTGCACGCTGTGCCCAACTTGGGGAATACATGAAACAGGGTACCGCTCTCTGTTGCATAAATGAGTAATTGGGCACGTCGTGTGGTCCTGGTCTTCGTGCCGCCATCACAGGAGACGCTGCATGTGGACCACTGCTCCCAATCGCTCCATCTGCAATCCACCACCTGGCCACCCGCCACCCTTGGGGGCCCTATGGGCATGAAACAAAGGGAAAGGCAATCGATCACGGGAGCAAAAACCCAAAAAGTCACCTATCACAAAGGCCGTCGCGCAAGAAGAACTCTGAAACCTGCACAGGGTCCATTAAGTGACCTTCTAAGTTTCCTCCAAATTGTGGGTTTAAGAGGGGAAACCCCCTCCAAAGCTTCTTGTGAGGAACCTGTTACGTGTGTCTCGTGGCGATGCCTGGCAGTCGTGCGTCTTGCAAATCTTCACCTCCTGCAAGGGCCCGGTACCTTGATTCGCGATTCGGCTCGCGAAACCCTCCCAAAGCCCAACGGTTGAGGTCCAAACCATCCGAAAAGGGGAAGAGGGGCTCTTGCCCATCGGTGAAAGAACGGGTTTTTCAAGGAAGACACAAGAAATGAACCTTCTTTGTGTCTCCACAACGTGCTCAGGATTGTTGAGCTGCTGCAGGCATGGTATGCAAAAAGGACTCCAACCCAGCTCCTGACGCCCCAATTGAAGCAACACTTTGACCTTTGGCCTGTAGCAGGGGAAACAGATCCCTTTCTCAGCGCAGTATGGGGGAATGAAGGGCTTCTTATTCTGTTGGTTGGCATTTATTGGGAAAACCCTTCCTCTAGAATTGATGGCCGAAAAAAAACAAAAACAACAACATTTTTTGTTTACCACACAAACAGTCCAGGAACTCCAGAAGTGGCCATGGGTCAAAATCCAAATCGTACCCCCAGTGAACATCCCAATCCCCACTAAAATAGCTTCTAAAATGGGTGGTGAATTCACCTACCAAAATGGAATCCCAAAACGGTTTTGACCCACGGCCAAGTGTGTTTTGGCAGACCCCCCGTTGCAGGCTTGCTTCTGGAGGGTGAACCCACGTCCCTTACTAACCTTCATCTACCCGTGTTTTGGTTGTGGCTATGGTCCAGCAACTCCAGAAGTGAGAGCAGGAGTTCCCATGCCACTGGGCCGCTGGATTTGCTGTTTTTTTCATCGAGAGGCAGGGCTTGCCGCCCATCACGGCGAGGCTGTCCATCTTCCGGCTCCGCACTTGGGAGCCGTCGCCTGCGAGAATTTGAATTCCCGGGCGTGGTGACCCGACAACTTGCTGGTGCGGTAGGTGGGGAATGACGTGTAGGGAATGAACCTAGGGGGTCTTTTTATTGGAAACTGTTGAAAGGTGGGATCTACCTAAAAGTCAGCACGGGCAGCAGCTTGTTTTACTTGAGCCAGTATTATGTCGGTACGCCATTACCTATCAACACCCCCCGCTTTGCAGAGGTGCGTTGGTGAGAACAGTACTTTGTACATGTTTCCCCCCCATGCCTGAAGCAAAGTCCTCTGAGGTCAAGACAATGAAAACGTAGAGCCTCAGTGGGATAGGTGGCAAGCCATGGTGTTATGAGGCCTCTTGTATCAATGACCGCTGCAACTGCGATGCATTTGGACTTTTGCAGGAGCGTGCCACTTGAATCGGCCGACCACGACTTTCGTCGGGCAAAACACATGTGATTTCCATGTGAATGCTTGAAACTGAATTCACACTGTTGCCATCAGCGAAGGTGATCTCACGACCACAGCTTCCGCTGGGCAAGACTGAAATGACATCCGGTGGTGGCGGCCGTGGATTGACCTACGGCCGCAGCTTCCGCCGGGCGTGCAAACTTGGCACTGCTAATGTTGCGGCATAAATGGATGAAAAATAATAGTTTTGAACATGACATCACCAATGAAATTGAAATGGTTACCGCAACATAAGCAAACTTTTGTAATTGACGCGGGTGCTCACCATCCCCACGGGCCCTGACGCCATTGATGCCATCCAGAGGACCACCCGTACCAAGAGCTCCAGTCCTGGCGCCCCGCGTTCTTGCCTTTGCCCTTGCCCTTTCCCTTGGTGTAGGGCTCGGGGCGGATGGACCGGGTGATCGCCCTCCACTGGGTGTTCCTCGCCTCAACAGGATAGGTCCGCGTCCGGCCGGAGGAAAACTGCGGGATTTCGAGTTCACCGGTGCAGATGGTGCCCTGGGAGTCGAACTTGATCCAGGAGGCACGAATGAAACTGGTCATGACCTCCAAAATCCTTTCGACGTTCCCTTCCGGGACGTATGATCCGCTGTGCCCGATGATAATCGGCACCTGGTTGCCCGGAATGAAACGATAGGCACACATGACCGCAAACTGCATGATGCTGTAAAACCTCGCATGGTGTGCAATGAAAGCCTCCGTGGAAACGTTCAACTCATGGGGATCGCGTTTGTTGAGGCTGGGGATGAACACCAACTTCGTTCCGGTGTTCTGGGATCCGCCTCGCTCGCGTTCCTCCCTGGTACGGCCTGGGTCAGCAACAACCGCTCGGGCAATCCGGCCAAGGAAGTCAAGGCTCTCTGGGGTTAGCCCTTGCGTGGCGCAGTTGTATGCGTAGAATGGATCGACCGAGAGCCGGTCAGATACCTTCTCGCACCCCATCGCCAACGCCTTGGTTAGGTGCGTTTTGGCCGTCTTCCTGAGCGACGCTTCGACGGAGATTCCTCCCCGCTTTTCACCTTCCTTGAAGTGATGCTTGGAACGGATCCACTTCCCTCCGCCACCTTGCAAATCCTCCAGGTAGAAAACCATGCCCTGGAGGGATGCTGTGTGCTCGAGGCGCACCACCTCAGTGGCGATGCGTGCGTCCGTCCAAGACACCATGTCTGACCGACACTCCTGACACAACAGGTAGCCGTCGATCTGTTGGTTGTTGCACCTCCTGTTCCAGCATTTCACGACCGGTACCTTCATCATGGTCGTGAAGAGGAGGTCCTCCCAACGTGGCTCACTCTGGTAGCGGTTCCGGAGGTTGTTCCAGCCGCGACCATGCCCTTTCTCTCCCCTGGAGAGTTCGGGCACCCGCCGAAGGGTTGCAGGCGCAACCTGATATGTCGGGCCTGCAGGTCTCTCATTCGACTTCCCCTTCCGGGGAGCGAGCTCATCGACCGTCTCAATCTCGGTCACGGCACCCGGAAGCAATTTGCCGTTCTTCGTCCCCTCAACGACGGTCCTCCAATGCCTCCAGGCCTTCTCTGCGGTCAGGGTGTTTTCACTTCTGAAGAAGTTCGGATTGACGTCCTGAGGCCCAGGCGCAAGCTCGGTTGTCAGCGCCTCGCGATACCTTTTGCGAAGCTCAGGGTACGCACGATTGAAGTAGAGGAACTCATTCTTGCGGGTATGGAAAGCGTAAATAATATAGGCATTTCCAACCCAATCTGCAGACATAAACGCCTCATCGCTCGTGAAGAGTCGAATGCCGTCCTGCATCATGAGCTCAGTATCAAAAGCAATCGTGACGGGCCTTCCGGCTCGCGTTCCTGCCAGCTTCCTCATCTGCGCCTCCCAGGGTGGCGTGGGGTTGAAGTAGACGTGGGCTCTGCCTGTCGACTTCGGATAGCCCCCCGGGACCAGGCCGAACTTGAGGATACTCTCGGCCGACCTGAGGTCACAGGTGTGGTAAAGGACAGCCGGAAAGCCTCGGCGCCACAGGTCAGTAAGTTCCGGATGCCGCACAGCCCTCGGGTAGTGACCGTCCAAGTATTTCGCCGCGGTGAACTCCTCGTCGAAGGAATACAAATTTGTCAGGATCGCCTGCTCAGTGTATTTCCTTGTGAGCTCGTTGTGGTGTCCTTGCACGGCCCTCACTCGCAAAGCCTGATACGGCAATCCTTTCCAGGATGCTTCCCCCAATGGAGGGGGCCCAACCATCACGCGGAATCTGCGGGTGTTATTGTTCCGGATGCAGATCATCACCTCCCAAGGCATGACATTGGCAATCCGGTCATTCAGATGCCTAACCAGCGCATCGAATTCCACCGACAGGTCAATTCCGCGAAACGGCGGGTGGGGCTTGCCGTCCTTGAATGCCCCTCCCCGGAGGAAATAGGACATTTTCTTCGAAATTGCGACCAGTCGGTAGTCGCGGTCCATGTTGACCTTCGGGACGTGCCACATGTCCTCGACCTCGAGCCACTCGCTCTGCTCCTCGGCCGGGACGTTGGTATTGATCTTCCGGGTCTTTGCCCAGTCTTCCCAGAAGATCTTCTCTTGCTTAGGGTCCTTCTGCTTTTTCGACCGGGGTTCCCCCTCGGCGTTGCCTGGCGGCGCCTTGGCCTTCGCAATCCTCGGCATCGCCTTCACTTGGGGCTTGTCGGTCGAGCCTGCAGCCGTGGGGTCCGACTCGTCTCCAATCTCAATGAAACCAGTCGACTGGGGTTCCCCCACAGCGTTCTTGGCAGCAGATCCGCGCCTTGACGGCGGCGGTGTTGGCGGTTGCTTGGATGTGCTGGTGCCCTCCGTCACGGACTCAAAAGCGACCGACTCCGCGGTGATCATGGAACTCATCCCTGCCGCCTCGGAATCATCAGCTTCTGACACCATTTCCAATGATACCACCGTTTCCTGATCGAACAAGTCTCCTTCCGCGATGATAATCGACTGGCCTTCCGGCGCAGCATGGTGCACTCCTGGGGGCAGATTCGTCGCATCCCATCCAAAGTCATGGGTGTCACCGCCCAGCAAGAGCCACTTGTCCTTGTCCTCATCGTCGGGGACCTTGGACAAGCCGTGTTTCTCCGCCGTACTGTCGATGTAGTGGGACATCGCGATCTCCACTCGGTCAAGCTCGTCGTCGGAGTTTTCCTCACCTTTGTCGACGGCTTCAAGCACGATGTCGGATTCGTCGACCTTGGCCCCCCGCATGTCGATGGTTATGGCGTTATAGGACTCATCCTCCGCCACCTTCATCCATGCGGCCACATCGGCGTCGATTTCGTCGCCCTCCTGGTCGTGGGACCAGTCGGGCTTCTCCTCCATCGCCGCGTACTCGTGGAGCGCTTTGGCCAGCTTCAAGCATGTGGGCCAGCCAAAGAGCACCGGGTCGACCGGTTCACCTGCCACGTAGGGCTCAACCCTCCCAATGGCTGGGAGAGCGTATCTGATCCGCTGGGCCAACAGCTGCGTGTTGATAGCCGCATGAAGGAATTTCGACACAACCTTCCGGTTGGCATTGCTGTATGTCATGCGCACGTCATCGTACCTGTGCGCTAGCAATGTCATAACCGATGGGTCGATCGAGTCGATCGCCTTGATGCGGGTCCCATCGTCGATGTCGATGTCCCCGTTGGCCAGGTGTCGAAGGCAGCCGTTCATAGCCTCGTTGTAATCGGACGTGAGGGCATAGTCCTCGGCGTCCGGGTTGCTGATGAAGGTAATGTCTCGAATGCGTCCGAGCCCAACCGCCTCCTTGAAGAAGTCGAGCTGCTCGTACACGCGGGTCTTCTGAACCCTCGGCCACTCTGACGCGGCCTTCCGGCCCGCCTCCGTTCGGTTGAACCTTTTCTCATGGATCCATCTGCACCCCACGAACCCATAGTTGCCGAAGACATCGTTTCCTCCCCACAACACGTAAACCGAAATGGGGAGCTGTTTGATGCCCTTCTGAGAGTTGTCCTCGGCGATGAATCGCACTTTGGCCTCCATGGTGCTGTAGATAGCCTCAAGCCCCTTACCCCAATCCATGCCGTGGTAAATGTTGCGGACCCCCTTCAGCTGTTCGGCCTGAAGCAGCTCCGCCACATGATGCTTGGTCGGGTATCGGTTGTTCGGCTCTTCGACCATGGCACAGGAAGAGTCCCCAATGACCAAAATGTCGACCACCTCTTCCGAGGGGCATGGCACGGCACGAAACTCCGCAGGGGCGTTGCGCCCTAGGACTTGGATCAAGTCCCAATATGCCATTTCTGAGTTGCTCCCGGCTAGGGTTCCCCCCAGCATCACTCCCGGTGCCTGTTCCTGCGATGCGATAGTCCGCGTCACCGTGTCCGGCTCCGGGATGGTCGCAATCGCTGCCTGCGTTTGGAATTGCTTCATCAGCTTGTCCCATTCCACCAAATTGTAGATGGCACCCTGAATGTCGAGCTCCTTCTCCAACACGTCGTTGAGCAGGATATCAACGGAGGGCGCGAGGGACGACATCCTTATCGCAGGAGTTGATTGAATCACTCGGGAGGCTACTGAGATCGAAAAGGCTGCGT